GAGTTATTCAGAACAACGCCAGCGTGTGCGACAACCTGGAAGCATTGGAAGTGTGTCTGAAAGTCAAGACCATGTCACAACATATTGCTTGTCATGTTTTGAAAGTGGTAGCTTGCCCTTTGGGCTGTGCTTTCAGCCTTTGGAACCTTCCAAAGGTGCGACCTCCAACGGTATACCATCAGTCAGACTCCTCACGATACCCGTAGCAGCACCCTTCTTGCACTGACTTTGGCGTAGCCTTGCTTTCTTTGAGGGGGAGGAATTCTCAGGGCGGTGGTTCAAGGTGGGATTGCGGAGGGTTGGTATCTTCCAGCACTTTCAGGATTGTAAGAAGGCTTAGGCCCTAGGTTTTAGTGCACATGATAGCCCTCCCCGCAGCCTGACGTGTACTTCTGGTAAGGTTGTGGGTTTAGAGATATAGAGAAAGAGGAAGAAGTGTACTTTGAGGAGACATGGATACCTTACTCAACTGCTCAAAAGCTACGTGGCGTCTCTGTTTAAGCGGCTGACCTCTACTTAACGCCTGGCCTCCGTGTAATGGAGTCAAAGAAAGGCAACGCAACCTTCTACATGATGTGAGCCATAATCTTAACTGCTTGAAGGGGCTGTCAAGGGGGTTATATAGGAGACTGCTATAGGGGTTATTATAGGGGTTATACTAAGGGGGATACTAGGAGTTGAGACTGGCTGATGTCACGGCAGGCACTTCGGAAGGCCTGGCTGTCCGCAAAGCGTACTGGGGGTTAGTAGGGAATGAGGGAATATTATAATATTATCCATAATATAACCCCTGGATTATATTCCCTTATTCCCTACTAACCCTAAACCCTGAATCCTAAACCCTATATATTAAATATTCCCTTACTCCCTACTCACCCCCAGTAAGAAAAGGGAAACCTGGCAAGTCCTACAAGTTTGGCGCTTCTCAACATGAACCCTGCGTAATCCCTAAGGGGGGGCGTTCAGTAGGGTTTTGGGTTTTGGGTGTAGGGTTTAGGATTTGGGGTTTAGGGTTTTTCGGAAACCCCAATCTCGCGAAGGTCCAGAATACTCGGGCGAGGGCGAACTTGTCTGCGTGAGCGGGCGCCTGCCAGGGGCCCTGAGCCTCTTCATTCAGGGACGTCCTAGATCCCTTTCAAGGGATTTGCCGGGACGTATAGGGTTTATAGGGTTTAGGGTCTGGGGTCTAGGTCCTGGGATTCTGGGGTTTCTAATGATGGGTTATGTAATGTACTCGTAAAGGGTTACATTCAGGTTACAATGGGCTTCTGAAGGTGGTATAATGAATCACCGAATTTCATAGTCCCTCAAAGCTGAACTGACCTGGAACTCCCAAAAGAACTCGCTTCTATATTTGCTTGGGCGAGGGTAGGGCACTTCGTCAAGTAGAGTTGCAGGCTTGTAGCCTTCGAAGGGTTCAATGCTCTATGTAGTTGTTGGGCTTGAGTTTGTTTAAGTTGGGAGGCTTCAGAAGCGCAAGTTCGATTGGTATCGCTGTTTGTATGAAAGATCCAGGTCGTGACGCTGATTTGGGTTCTCATAAGGTTCGGCTCCGTGCAAGGTTTGGTGCATTGTAAGAACGTATGACGTATGAGGGATCCTGAGATACATGAGCCATGAGAAGAAAAACCCTAGAACGATGTAAGATTGTAGCCGTAGCAGCTGTCGCCAGAAAGAGCGCCACAATTGGCATGCGTACTCCTTATCATGCTCATCAAGGTCAGAGTTGAAGTGCTGCCTACACACACTACTGGGTTCCTCTTTAAACACCAACCTCAAAAGAACACAGCACCTTCGAAGAAACCTTATGGTTTTGTTAGCTTTTGGTTGGGTTTGTGTTGTCTGTTAGGCAGTCTTGCTAGTAGGCAACGCATTGGAACAAACCCCACCAAACTAGTGTGCGGTCTAGCTTGTGGTGTTTTGTTAGCTGGCAGTGGCAGTACTCAAGTCAGAGTCAACAGGCAGGAGCAAGAACGGTGATAGCAACAATGCCTAGAAATCCTGACGACGGGGTGATTGGTTAGTCAGTGGTAGAAGTTGCATGCTCAACATCAAAGTCAGCGCGTCATGGTGCTTGCGCGAAGTAGCCACCTGCGACGAGATGCAGCTGTGATCACGTGTGGTGTTTTTGGTATCAGCATGGGCGCTGTTTCTGTTATGCCATTGAATGCCATTCAAGCTGCAGCGCTTCCCTTAATGCAACAGTTGGTGGATACCTGCCAGATTCTCAGAAGAGTCACCTAAGTACGGAATGAAGGTCCTTATACCTATACACTCTTGCAAGGTGTTTGGAGCTGCCCAACTTCAGAATGAGTAGTATTCTATTTCGAGATACTAGGGTATGCAATATGCAGTCAGATTATATCCTCCTTTTGGTATCATATTTATATACAGAAAATACTTACTTGCTTCAACCACCCCAAAAAGAAACGGTACTTGACCAAGACCTAGGTATGCTAGCAGCGACAACTGCAACTGCGCGACCGCATCCTGTGCCGGAGCGACCTGCGACAGCAGCGTCCGCCAAGCTCCCAGCTGATCTTACATGAGCTGTAGTCTAAACT